AAGTAAAATAATCAAATAGTTTAATGAGAAAGCGTAACAAAGGCATTTATGTATTTACATTAGGGTGGTCCAAAAATAGTAAAGACGGAATTGTAATGCTCACACGCCCTAGGATTTTTCTATATCGAAAAAAGTATACCGCTATTTTTTTATTTTGAAATCAAAAAATATTTAGAGGTCGCTCAAAGCGTTCAAAGTTTTTCATGTAATTTTATATGGGAAAAATAAATTTTTTCGTAGAAATGGTATAGAATTCTTGAAAGTCAATATTTTTCTTTGGAAAACTCTGTTTATCTGCAGGAGATTCCCAATAATAATACCCAATTGTTTATTTAACCATTTTTTAATACTAACGATTTTTTATTGGTCCGCCCATTGCACTTTTCGGGGTTTTTGTGGGTTTTCGGCGGAGATATATATTATAGTTGCTATGAAAAAATGGTTAAATAAACAATTGGGTATTATTATTGGGAATCTCCTGCAGATAAACAGAGTTTTCCGAAAGAAAAATATTGATTTTTAACTATTTTATACCATTCCTACGAAAAGTTGTTTTTTCCCCATATAAAATACATGGAAAACTTTTGGCGTTTTGAGCGACCTCTAAATAATTTTTGATTTTAAAATAAAAAAATAAGGGTATATTTTTTCGGTATAGAACAATCCTAGGGGGTGAGAGCATAAAAATTCCGACTTTACTTTTTCTCATGCATTTTCGGACCACCCTAATGTACATACATATGTACATGTGTACATGATCATTAGGCTGCGTCGCCATACAATTTTTTGATACTTAACTCCCTCTATTTCGAAAGCTTATTTTGAGTCGATTCTAATGTACCCAAATTTTAGTTTACTATTTTTTTTACACTGAGAAAAAGGATTAGTTTCGACAACTAAAGATATTTAGTTCCCGAATTTTGACAATATTTGGGAACTGTTACCAAGGATTGGGAACTATTACCATCGATTGGTAATTATAACTAAATATATTAAAGCTTCTAATATTC